GGAAGAAATTACAACCCCTAATCCAACGACAGAAGTTAATCCTACAAGAACAATTAGGCCAATAACAACGTCTAAGCAAACCACAGAAATTACCAATGCGGATAAAACAACTACAACAGAAAATCCTACCACTACAATAAGACAAACTACAGAAGTTAATCCAACAACAACTAAATCGACCACAACCATGGAAGAAATTATAACCCCTAATCCAACGACAGAAGTTAATCCTACAAGAACAATTAGGCCAATAACAACGTCTAAGCAAACCACAGAAATTACCAATGCGGATAAAACAACTACAACAGAAAATCCTACCACTACTATAAGACAAACTACAGAAGTTAATCCAACAACAACTAAATTGACCACAACCATGGAAGAAATTACAACCCCTAATCCAACAACAGAAGTTAACCCCACAACAACAATTAGGCCAACAACAATGTCTAAGCATACCACAACCACGGAAATAACCAAAGCACATAAAACAACTACAACAGAAAATCCTACCACTACAATAAGACAAACTACAGAAGTTAATCCAACAACAACTAAATCGACCACAACCATGGAAGAAATTACAACCCCTAATCCAACAACCGAAGTTAACCCCACAACAACAATTAGGCCAACAACAATGTCTAAGCATACCACAACCACGGGAATAACCAAAGGAGTTAAAACAACTACAACAGAAAATCCTACCACTACAATAAGAAAAACTACAGAAGTTAATCCAACAACAACTAAATCGAACACAACCATGGAAAAAATTACAACCCCTAATCCAACGACAGACGTTAACTCTACAAAAACAACGAGGTCAATAACAATGTCTAAGCAAACCACAGAAATAACCAAACCAGATAAAACATCTACAACAGAAAATCCTACCAGTACAATAAGAAAAACTACAAAAGTTAATCCAACAACAACTAAATCGACCACAATCATGGAAGAAATTACAACCCCTAATCCAACGACAGAAGTTAACCCTAGCAGAACAATGAGGCCAATAACAACGTCTAAGCAAACCACAGAAATTACCAAAGAAGGTAAAACAACTACAACAGAAAATCCTACCACTACAATTAGACAAACAACAAAAGCTGATCAAACAATAACTAAATCGACCACAACCATGGAAGAAATTACAACCCCTAATCCAACGACAGAAGTTAATCCTACAACAACAATGAGGTCAATAACAATGTCTAAGCAAACCACAGAAATAACCAAACCAGATGAAACAATTACAACAGAAAAACCTACCCCTACAATAAGACAAACTACAAAAGTTAATCCAACAACAACTAAATCGACCACAACCATGGAAGAAATTACAACCCCTAATCCAACGACAGAAGTTAATCCTACAACAACAATGAGGTCAATAACAATGTCTAAGCAAACCACAGAAATAACCAAACCAGATAAAACGTCTATAACAGAAAATCCTACCAGTACAATAAGAAAAACTACAAAAGTTAATCCAACAACAACTAAATCGACCAAAACCATGGATGAAATTAAAACCCCTAGTCCAACGACAGAAGTTAATCCTACAACAACAATGAGGTCAATAACAGTGTCTAAGCAAACCACAGAAATAACCAAAGCAGATATAACAACTACAACAGAAAAACCTACGACAACATTAAGTCAAACTGCACAAGCTAACCCAACAACAACAACTAAGCCAACCACAATGATGAAACAAGCTATAACTCTTAATCCAAAAACAACTGAATCAACCACATCCATACAAGAAACTACAACACATAATCCAACTAAAGAAGTTAATCCAACAACAACAGCTAAACTAACCACAACAATGAAACCAACTACAACAGAAAATCCTACCACTATAATTATAGAAACTATAAAACTTAACCCCACAACAACGGCTAAGCCAACAATAACAACCAGAGAAGCAATTATAAACGTTGCTCCAAAAACAACGGTTAAGGAAACCACGACAATGAAATCAACGACAACAGTTAATCCAAAACCAATTAAATCAACTACAACCATAGAAGAAACTACAACACCTAATCCAAGTACAGAAGTTAATCCAACAACAACAGCTAAACTAACCACAATGGTGAAACCTAATACAACAGTTAATCCAACAACAATAACTATGCCAACCACGATGATGAAACCAACTATAACACTTCATCCAAAAACAACTTTCAAGCCAACCACAATAATAAAACCATCTACAACACTTAATCCAAAAACAACGTTCAAGCCAACAACAACAATGAAACCAAATACAAAAGTTAATTCAAGAACAACTAAATCGACTACAACCAATAATCCAATAAAAGAAATTAAACCTACAACAACAGCGAGACCAACAACAACGTCTAAGCAAACCACACATATGGGAATATCCAAAGCAGATAAAACAACTACAACAGAAGATCATCCCACAAAAATGAGACAAACTACAAAAGTTAACACAACAACAACAATAAAAAGAATCACAACAGTTAATCCAAAACCAACGCTTAAGACAACCATAACAATGAAATCAATAACAACAGTTAATCCAACAACAAATAAATCAACTACAACATATAATCCAACTACAGAAATTTATCCCACAACAACAATCAAACCAACAAGAACAGCTAAACCAACCACAATTACTACACAATCTACAATAATGAAAACAATTGAAACAACTATAACAGAAAAACAATATACACAAGTTAACCCAACAACAACAACTAAGCCAACCACAATGATGAAACCCACTACAACACTTGATAAAGAAACAACTAAATCAACCACAACCACACAAGAAACTACAACACCTAATCCAACTACAGAAGTTAATCCCACAACAACAGTCAAGCCAACAGCAACATCTAAGCCAACAAACATCATGAAATCAACTACAAAAGTTACTCCAACAGCAATTAAATCAATCACATCCACGGAACAAATTACAACCCCTAATCCAATAACAAAAATCAGGCCAACAACAACGTCCAAACAAGTCAAAGCCACAGAAATATCCAAAATAGATAAAACAAGTACAATAGAAAACCCTACTGTTACATTGAAGCAAAATACAAAATATAATCCAATAACAACAGATAAGCCAACAACAACCATAAAAGAAACTCCAACGGTTAATCCAAAATCAGTTAAAACAACAACTTTGAATCATCCTAAACCAACTAGTCAAACAGTAACTATGAAACTCACAACAATTGCTAATGCTTCTACAACAATGAAAACAATTACAACAGTTATTCCAACAACAACAAATAATACAGCAAAAATGACTAATCATAAACTAACAATGAAACTGCCTCTGACAACGTCTCTACCAACTAAACCTAACATAGTAGTAATAAACCAAACAGAAACAACAATAACAACAGTAGATAACATATCCACAACTACTAGTTCGTTTGTCATAAGTAACAATGCAACAGTAGAAACATCCCCAACAATAACACCAGAAGACAACATATCTACAACTCCTAATTCGTCTGTCACAAGAAACAATCAAACAGTAGTACAACACCCAACAGAAACAACAAGAACAAGAGTAGATAACATATCCACAGCTGCTAGTTCGTATGCTACAGATAGCAATGAAACAGTAGTAACAATCCCAAGAGATACAACGACAACAGCAATAGATAACATATCCACAGCTACTAGTTCGTTTGTTATATATAACAATGAAACAATAGTAACAAACCCAACAGAAACAACAAGAACAACAGTAGATAACATATCCACAGTTCCTAATTCATCTACCACAGGTAACAAAGAATCAGTAGTAACAAACCCAACAGAAAAAACAAGAACAGCAGTAGATAACATATCCACAACTGCTAGTTCGTTTGTCACAGGTAACAATGAAACAGTAGTAACAAACTCAACAGAAACAACAAGAACAGCGGTAGATAACATATCCACAGCTACTAGTTCGTTTGTCATAGATAACAATGAAACGATAGTAACAAACCCAAAAGAAGTAACAAAAACTTTAGTAGATAACATATCCACAGTTCCTAGTTCATCTATCACAGGCACCAATAAAACAATAGTAATAAACCCAACAGAAACAATAATAACAACAGTAGATAAGATATCCACAGTTCCTAGTCCATCTATCACAGGCAACAATGAAACGAAAGTAACAAACCCAGTAGAAGTAACAAGAACATCAGTACATAACATATCCACAGTTCCTAATTCATTTATCACAGGTAACAATGAAACGGTAGTTACAAACCCAACAGAAACAACAATAACAACAGTAGATAACATAGCCACAGCTGCTACTTCGTTTGTCACAGGTAACAATGAAACAGTAGTAACAATCCATACAAAAACTACAAGAACAACAGTAGATAACATATCCACAGTTCCTAGTTCATCAATCTCACGTAACAATGAAACAATAGTCCCAAACCCAACAGAAACAACAAGAACAACAGTAGATAACATATCCACAATTCCTAGTTCATCTATCACAGGCACCAATAAAACAATAGTAATAAACCCAACAGAAACAACAAGAACATCAGTAGATAACATATCCACAGTTCCTAGTCCATCTATCACAGGCAACAATGAAACAGTAGTAACAAACCCAACAGAAACAACAATAACAACAGTAGATAACATAACCACAGCTGCTAGTTCGTTTGTCACAGATAACAATGAAACAGTAGTAACAAACCGAACAGAAACAGCAAGAACAATATTAGATAACATAGCCACAGCCGCTACGTCATTCGTCACGGGTAGCAATGAAACGATAGTAACAAACCCAGCAGAAGAAATAAGAACATCAGTAGATAACATATCCACAGCTGCTAGTTCCTTTGTCACAGGTAACAATGAAACAGTACCAACAAATCAAACAAAAACAACTGTAGATAACATATTCACAGATGCTAGTTCGTATGTTACAGAAAACAATAAGATAGTAGTACCAAACGCAACAGAAACAACAACAGTAGATAACATAATCACAGATGCTAGTTCGTATGCCACAGATAGCAATGAAGCAGTAGTAACAATCCCGAGAGAAACAACAAGAACAACAGCAGATAATATATCCACAGTTGCTACTTTATTCGTTACAGGTAACAATGAAACAGTAGTAACAAACCCAACAGAAACAAAAAAAACAACAGAAGATAACATATCCACAGCTGCTGCTTCGTTTGTTACATTTTATAATGAAACAGTGAAAACAAACCCAACAGAAACAACAAGAACAACAATACATAAGATATCCACAGCTGCTATTTCGTATGCTACAGATAGCAATGAAACACTAATAACAATCCCGAGAAAAACAACAAGAACAACAGCAGATAATATATCCACAGTTGCTACTTCATTCGTCACAGGTAACAATGAAACAGTAGTAACATACCCAACAGAAACAAAAAAACAACAGAAGATAACATATCCACAGCTGCTACTTCGTTTGTCACAGCTAACACTGAAACAGCAGTAACAAACCCAACAGAAACAACAAGAACAACAGTAGATAACATATCAAGAATTCCTAGTTCATCTTTCAAAGGTAACAATGAAAAAGTAGTAACAACCCCAAGAGAAACAAGAAGAACAACAGTAGATAACATATCCACAGCTGCTAGTTCGTTTGTCACAGGTAACAATGAAACAGTAGTAACAAACCAAACAGAAGCATCAAGAACAACAGTAGATAACATATCTACAGTTCCTAGTTCATCTATCACAGGTAACAATGAAACAGTAATAACAAACCCAACAAAAAGAATAAAAACAACTGTAGATAACATATCCACAGCTGCTAGTTGGTTTGTCACAGGTAACAATGAAACAGTAGTAACAAACCAAACAGAAGCATCAAGAACAACAGTAGATAACATATCCACAGCTGCTAGTTCGTTTGTCACAGGTAACAATGAAACAGTAGTAACAAACCAAACAGAAGCATCAAGAACAACAGTGGATAACATATCCACAGTTCCTAGTTCATCTATCTCACGTAACAATGAAACAATAGTAACCAGCCAAACAGAAGCAACAAGAACATCAGTAGATAATATATCCACAGTTCCTAGTTCGTTTGTCACAGGTAACAATGAAACAGTAGTAACAAACCAAACAGAAGCATCAAGAACAACAGTAGATAACATATCCACAGCTGCTAGTTCATCTATCACAGGTAACAATGAAACAGTAATAACAAACCCAACAGAAACAACAAGAACAACAGTAGACAACATATCCACAGTTCCTAGTTCGCTTGTCACAGGTAACAATGAAACAGTAGTAACAAACCCAACAGAAGCATCAAGAACAACAGTAGATAACATATCCACAGTTTCTAGTTCATCTGTCTCACGTAACAATGAAACAATAGTAACAAACCCAACAGAAACAACAAGAACAACAGTAGACAACATATCCACAGCTCCTAGTTCATCTATCACAGGCAACAATGAAACAGTAGTAACAAACCCAACAGAAACAACAAGAACAACAGTAGATAACATATCCACAGTCGCTACTTCATTCGTCACGGGTAACAATGAAACGATAGTAACAAACCCAACAGAAGTAACAAGAACATCATCAGATAACATATCCACAGCTGCTAGTTCGTTTGTTATAGATAACAATGAAACAGTAGTAACAAACCAAACAGAAGCAACTGGAACATCAGTAGATAACATATCCACAGCTGCTAGTTCGTTTGTCACAAGTAACAATGAAACAGTATTAACAAACCCAACAGAAACAACAAGAATAACAGTAGACAACATATCCACAGCTGCTAGTTCATTTGTCACAGGTAACAATGAAACAGTAGTAACAAACCCAACACAAACAACAAGAACAACAGTGGATAACATATCCACAGCTGCTAGTTCGTTTGTTATAGATAACAATGAAACAGTAGTAACAAACCAAACAGAAGCAACTGGAACATCAGTAGATAACATATCCACAGTTCCTAGTTCATCTATCACAGATAACAACGAAACAATAGTAACAAACCCAACAGAAAGAATAAGATCAACAATAGATCAAATTTTCACAGACGTTAGTTCGTTTGTCACAGGTAACAATGAGACAGTAGTAACAAACCCAACAGAGATAAGAACAACTAGAGATCAAATATCCACAGACGTTATTTCGTTTGTCACAGGCAACAATGAAACAGTAGTAACAAACCCAACAGAAACAACAACAACAGTACTAGATAACGTATCAAACCAAACAGAAAAAATAATGACTGCCGCACCAAATGGATTAGACATATTATCAGGAGTATCTACACAAACACCTACTGGTTTAGACACAACAACAAGTATCGTCATTCTCACATCAAATGTACCAGACGTAACAGAAGAAAGCTGGAATGGAACTATTCTTAACCCCACACTTGCTAATTCCATCAGAAGACCAACCCTTGGCTCTTCTCCACCTGTCGTCAAACCGACCACAGTAGGAGGATCAAGCGACATAGTTCAACATATGATAACCGGAAGTCAAGAAACACATCCAATCAATGTTTCAGCTGCACCAAGCGTGTATTCCAATCCAGCACTGACGTCATCTGCTCTTGGAAGTGGACAAGACTCACCCTACTTTCCTAAGAAGCAAACAAATTACCATGAGTATCCTTATGAATCAAGTCCTGATTACAAAACTGGCAAACCTGGTTTCACAGTTGATAAGAAAGTTACAAGTGAGGATAATTTTGGTGAACCACACTCACCAAAAAACGAGGATGTGAGTGATGTGTTTCAAACTGATCATCCTACTGAACCCCAAGGAACATTAAAATACCAAGATCTACCCCAAAACGCCACCAAACTGTATACATCAAGTGGCGACTTTTTTACACAGAAGATTGGTGTATCTGAAGAAAATGTCGATGATCCTAGACGTAACCCTTATACAAGACAAGATCTACAAAGCACATCGCATGAGACTTCAGGTATTGTTGTTATGATTTCATACTTTTCATTACTTTAACTAAACCAGTAAGTTTACCGTATATAATAATCCAGGTATTGTTGTTATGATACCAGACTTTCCATTACCATTAACTGAACCAGTAAGTCTATAGTATTGTTGCGTA